TCATTTGCGTTTCTCTTTCATTTTTATTAATTTAATTGTTATGCGCGAAAAACGCGTTTAATGACAAACCACTTAAATCAATGCAAATTATGAGTACTCATGACGTCTGTATTTTTCTGTGTTAAGACTAATGTGTCTTCTGTCTTTAAAAAAATGTACAGAGTAGCAAAATTATATATGCGAATCCCTCAACTCTTCACAAATAATTAGGGGTATAATTGATGGATTCAATGTCGCGTCAAATAAAAACGTTAGACTATAAAAGCGAGAAACCTTTTCTCTATCATAACAGAGATCAGAGAATCATTTTAAAATTTATTTCCGTTTTGTGAGAATAACAACAAGTTTTACAATATTGTGTATGTATGTGTTTGATTGATATTTTTTTCCTTTGATAAACTAATCAAACAAGTCTAGTTTACCGTCAACTCAATAAAATGAATGTGATCGTACTTCTGTGAATAGTGAGCATTTTTTCCTGTTTGAATATTGAATTCTATTATCTTGTGAAAGTGAAACCAATGAGTGTTTTTTGATATTTTTATTTTTTATTCAAAATGAGAAAAATGTAAAGTGTATTTTTTATAACAGTACTGATTAATCAAATGACCACATACGAATGTTTTTCGTGGTGAATTGTATAGTTCTTTATTTGTACTGTGAGAAAAACTTTTAAGTACATATTTTTGTGTCATCACTTTGCCATTTGAATACATAAGATGCATACATGATTGTCACTTTACAGTTTACACGCTTTTTACAATTTTAATTTTTACCTGCATATTCGGAATCACAACTGTGTATTGTTCCTGAACTTAGGTCAACGTAGTAAGCGTTTGCAAAGATTAACAAAGAAGATAATTGAAACGATTAAAAAAACCGTTGGGTAATTTTTTATCTTTTCTTCGAAAATGATTTATCAAGAATGAAAATATGAAAAAACGTGTAAATGAAACAAAAAAGGTTGTATTAATATAAAGTTAGTTACAAACTAAAACTTTCTCTCAACCATGAATTGTTTAATAAATGAGTTTAATAAATTAAGTTCCATATAAGAATATTAAATTTTTCAATCAATTGAAGAATATTTGAGCATATTGCTAAAAAATTGATAAAAATGCAGACAACTGACTTACATGGACAGTTACAGTATGAACCTGTTCGTTCACATTTTTGTAAAAAAGAAAACTACATATAAAATGTTCATGAAATGAAATGCTGTTGGTTTTTGAACTAATGTGTACGAACCGACACCACAAGAAATTCATTACGTAAGAATTTTATGGAGATTGTGAAGTTTGGTTTGCCATTCGTTATTTAGCAGAAAGGAATATTTTTCTTTCATATAATGCCTGAAGCCACAATAATTAAACTATCGCTCTCGTAATCGGGAAACTGCACGAACTGGTTTTTCTTCTGTCGAACGACAATAAAGAATTACTCAAAAAGTGACACACTTGAACGTAAATGTGATCCATCTGACGAAAAATCATGCATGTATTTATTATCCTTTCACATATTTTTTCCCTTCAAAATCGAATGAATAAAAGATTTATTGAACAAATTCCAATCAAAGCAGGGACAGTTTGATCATCGAATTTTGCAAAATTGCAACAATTCAAATGGTTTTTATTATTTTTGTATTGACATTTTTAGTTTTTTAATTTGGAACATTATTGATATTTAAATATGATTGTTCCGCATTATCTTCAACTAACTTTAACGGCTTTGTGTTCCAAATTGAATTTGTAATTTTTCATTAAAAACAATCAACTTTAATTGACTAAGCCACAGAGATGTTTATGAGTCACTACCAAATTCACACAGGATTCATTTGTTCAATAATGTTGAAATGCAAAATATTGTTTTTGCAACACAATGATGGCATCAATTGTTTTAACAAAATAGCGCAATTCATTTGCATCGACTTTGTTGCATAACACAATTTCATTCATTTTGGAAAGTTGTATGATCCCTAATATCATAAACACTATTACTTGTACGTTTATTTCTTGTGTGGGCACTAATTTTTCTTCAACATTTTCAAAATATTGTTCACTGAATGAAACAAAATCCAAATAAAATTCCAGAACTGATAGACTTTCTAGGTCACAATGACAAACTATGAGAGTATTTTCCTTTTTATTTGAACCAAAGAGACAGAGCGATTTTTGTTGATTGTGATGTGAGTTACTCACGTTTTTGCCGTTGAAAATGTTTAATCAAATAAATCCAATGTAAAAATATAACCGATAAATTAAAACAAGCAAATCATTTGCTTTATGTGCACAACACTTATTGATTTTCGTAACTTTACGGCAACACAAAATAGAAAACTTTTCTACTTAAAATTTTCAAATATGTTTTTATTTTTAAATATTTTTCGCGAAATAATTTTCACATAACATTATGTATTGAAAAAGCAGCTGTTCAAAATGTTAAGATTCTGCGATTTCGATTAGAAACGAAAAATATCAAACGAAAGAACACGTCCGCTCTGTAGAGCTGCCAAAATACTACTGTTGAGTTAGATGGTTCGTATTGGTTTGAACTGAAGTTTCACTCAAAACACTATAAAGATGAGTTTGACTCGTTTGAAACTCAATGAAGAAACCAACTCATTCATAGTAAATGTGTGATAAATTATACATTAAAATCAAAGTTAGACAAACAATAGTCCAACCAATGACCATTAATAAACAAATGAAAATACATGTAATTATTTTATACATTTTTACCGAAAGAAATTTTAAGACTATTTTTGAATGTCATCAAACGATGGAATAAATTGGAAGTTTTCTTATTTACGGTGAGTTTATTATGGACAGCCTTTAAATAGTAAACAAATGTACTATTCATATTTTATTGCAACGTTTTTTTTATTTTAGTAAATCTTCTGGGTCTGGAGAAAGTTACGAAATATGTGTCGTAATATTTAGAAATCTTGAGCCGTTTTTTTTTTTTGTTGAATCATTCAAAAATCATTTAAAAATATAATTTATGAAAATATGGGCCAGTGAGATATACGTGAAGAAAGATAATTCAGAAGATATCAATGTAACAAATGCACTTTGTTGACACACAAATGTCAGTAAAACTTACCGAAGTGCATATGTGATTAAAATAGTTTCCTGCCACAAACTAAACGTAAAATATATAATTAATTTTTGTTTTTATTTTTTAGCCCTAAGTTATCCATAATTTCCATAGGATAAATAATTGTTGCATCCATTATCGGACAAATCTTGACGGTCAATTTTCGAGTGGGATTCGTGTGTAGAACTGAAATTTTTACATGAGACAAATATATAGATTCTAGATTTTAGCTCTTTTTTAGATCACGCTACAAAAGACCTAGGTTATTAAGCCTAATATTATTTCAGACGTATGATTTTGCTGGATAGATAGCCACTATCCAGCAGGGCTATGGGCCATGTGGATGTATCTACGGTATGCATAGAGTGGTTGTAACAATGGAAATATTTCTGTACGCATTAAACTCACTATAACAATCACCCGTTAGTCGCTATTTGTCATCAACCACCATTGAGCCAGCAAAATCATACATCTGTGTTATAGTTTCAATATCGTTATTCAAAATTATGCATTCCGCATGAAATACCAAATTATCAAATAAATACCTATCAAACGTAGCGTAAAACAAAGTAACTCGAATAAAAATGCACTTTGCTGTCAAAAGTCCATTAATCGAGAATAAAATAACGGTTCCTGATTTTATGATTTCCAAATCTCTTGTAAATACGAACGAACAAGAAATCAAAATAAAGGTAATTAACGAATGTTACTTTGAAGCGCATCGGCTAAAGCTACAATGAAATGTTTTTTTGAAAACAGTAAACACGAAACCAGAACACAGTAAGAGATTGTAAAAACGAAGATCATTTTGTACAAACATACGAAAAATACAAAACGGATTTGAAACTGTAGTGACTTCGATTCAAGTGAGAATGATGTAATTTACCATATAAACGCAAATCATTGGTCATTCTATTATTCTTTGTTACTAAAAGGGTATGAGTTGAAAATTAAATTTCAGTGAATTCGTTTTAAAATGTGTCAAAATTTTAACACTAAATCAATTTTATTTATTTAATCATTTTGATGGACCATAATCTAAAAAACGGCTTATAATCTATTAAATTAATAGCCGAAAAGAGGGGAAATACGTGGCTTATTGTTGTTCATAATTCGTTGAATTGATTATCAAACACAAACGTTCACGAAGTCTTGAAAATAGAGAAAACGTGTGCTTCTTTTCACAGTATGAAAAAGCGACCGCAATAATGGTGTTTCACTTTCCTTTCTTATTTCATCTTCATTCAATCTTTACTTCGGATGGTTCGATTATGGTGTGTCTTTTTTCAATTCATCTTGGAGTTCCCTTTTGTATTTCATCTGCATATTGTTTGCACTTTTCTTTGGGTATCAATTGTTAACTATTTTTCATTTGTATATTTTTTCTCATCGTTTTGAAAATAACGTTGATTTTTCTCTATAATATAACTTTCAATAACTCAAATTAATCAATAAAGTTGTTTGGTCTAATTTATTTGAAGGTCGATGTAGAACGACTCAGTGTAGAAACGATGGGAATCCATGACAAGTAAATTGTATATACCAGGGCATAGTGAGATGATAATTTCAATTTTTATTTTATCTATTTTACGTAAAAATTTTCATATACTAAAGTTCCACAAACTAATAACAAACTATCTGGAATATTTGAAGTGAAGCCATTTGTCTACCTGGTGGATAAATTTTGCATAAATAGGAAAATTTAATTTCAAAAATCAGCTTTAAAAGAATTTCGAAAATCACAAAAAAAACAACATATTTTGTTGAAATTGTCTATACTGCTTTGACACTTGATCAATTTCTAATAAAAATGAAATAATAATCTTACAAATAAAATCTCGAAAATATCGAATAATTATGGCAACACTGACATTTATTGAATGCAAACGTTGTTTTAGTATTTGGCGCTTCTTTCATGCATACATTCACAAGGTTGTCAACCGGTTGTTGTTTGTGTGCACTTTTAATTGGTGTCTGAGTTGTGAATATTCTTCTGACAAATTTGGATAAAATAAATATTAAATAAAATTAATTGCGATAACTTCCAGTCTTATAACAGGTAATTTTCAACGTTTGTCGTTTGTATCTCATTTTTGATTACGAGAAATTTATTAATTTTGTTCATAAAATCATAAATTTAGGTTAGGTCATGTAAAACTTTTATTTTAAACCTTCAAAATTTAATTCTAGATCTGATCTTTAAAAAATGAAGTATATATTATATTAAAATAAATTGATAGAAGATATGAACATAATCAATTGAAGTTATTAGTAAAGGAATACCTTTATTAGATCATTTTTTAGCAGCATCATTTAAGTTGCTGCACAAAGTATTGTGAATACTGTTCAAAACGTTAGCTCTTATTACAAGATTATTAATGCATGTATTTTGGTTATGCACCAAAAATTGTATGTGTTCGATATGCATAAAAAAATCAAATAAAACATCACAGCAAAGGCGATTATTTGTCTTCTAAAAGCTATATGAGAATCGACACGCGGATTTTTCACACTTTGAAAGTTTTTGAATTGTTTTTTGTGACATTACATTTAGAATTATTTCAAACATGTTACTAAGTTTGTTGTGCATTATTGAAGCGTTTTTAAAGTATTTTTTATAGATTAGAGTATCCGTTATTTGTTTCATCCAAAAGTCGACCGGTGATTGACACTCGCATGGAACGATTGAAAATTTTTCGATTACCGAATGTAGAGCGCTTTTAAAATTCTCAAAAAATATCTTTTTTCGTTGTAAAAATATGTAGTGAAGTGTTTCTTGGCACGAAATAACCGAATATGATATTATTTTTGTAATTCAAGTAATTTTTGATACATTTTGTCTTACAAAGTCTGAATCAATCACCAAAAATCTGAGTTTTGTATGGGAGCTACCTCCGATCGACTTTTGGATGAGAGAAAAATAGAAAACATGTTTTTTTTTTTCATGTAATTCACTAAACAGATTGAAGCATTTTGAAACTACAACTTATTTTTTTTTACTGTTCTATTGATAGATGGAATTAATTTTCTAAAGCTATGTTTATACAAAAATGCATCAAAAACTAAACCAATTAAACTACAGAAGAATTGATCAATTTTGTTCAATTGTTCTCTTTCAATTCCATTCTTTGTTGACTTTCCAAACTTCAAATTTTTTCAAAGATTTTTTTTTATAAATGCAGAAAGTAAAAAGTAGTTTCTTCTAATAGAACTAAATAAAAAGGATAGTTTAAAAATCTGAAACTAACTTTAGAAAGTGTTCCAAATTTAACAAATTTAGAATAATTATTTTTCTACGCTCAATGATTTCAAAAGTTATATAATAAAATTTTGGATTACATGCAAAGGCAATGAAATATGAAATATTGGGTATCCTGCGAATGCGAATCAGTTTAATTCGAAGACTCACGATCCACATTTAAATTAATAAGGCCGATAAAGGATTGTAGCGCATTATTTTTGATAACATCGTCCATAAAACATATGTTATGCCACACAACACCTGAAAATCAAATTAAGCAATCAAAATTTTCACTTTATAACGAATGAATTAAATTTTCCTGTTACTTACAACACCACCTAATGCTAAATCAAAACTATATGAAGTTGTGAAAAAACGAGCCTCCAATAAATAATAAGCAAAACGTGCATCCCCCTTTTTGGCGATGAATCCTTCAATAGTACCATCTAAAGCAGTATCTGATGCTATATTTTGGTTACGTTTGAAATGTACTATCATTAAAGTAAATAATGCAAACAGCGCTGAAAAATAAACTCTTTATCAATAACGCAAATGCGTAGTTATATGAAATATATTTCATAATACCTGCCAACAAATACATGACGCCTGTAACAAGAATAGCACTTATTTGGCGTTGACATATGCCGAAAGCTCCCAAAAGTGCAGCCGAACCAAGTATAATAAGACAAACCAAAGAACACGATATAGACAAATTTTGCATCCCTAGAATAAAAGTTTTTAATTGGTGAAATTTGCCAATGATATTCTTTTGCGTTTTTCTGCGATTAGATACTAACTCATTGTTGGACGTCGTGCGATCTGGTAATCTACATCTTGCAAGTTCATGGAAATTAAATAGCTTATACATTTATTGGCGTGAGGAAATCCATATTGACCTAACTGTCGCATTTCATTTTCACTCAAATTAATGCACAAAGTCCATAATCCACTGTGCATTGGAACTAAGAAAACTGATTTTCCGTGATCTTTAATTCAAAGTAAACAAAAGAAATGAACAATTAATAATTAAATATATTGTTGGTGTACAAAAACGATTGCTTTTGATATGAGCTTTAAACTTTCGTGCAACTTTTATACGTTGGTTTTTATGTAACATAGAAGATAAATGTAATATTTTAGCACTGGAAAATATAATTACGTATAGGTAGCTGAGCGACTTTGCCATCTAAATGCCAATGCAGAATATGCGATGAATTATTAGTTAGGCGTTCCAATATATTATGATCCCATTGTGTCATTTCCCAATGGTCTGTCCTATATTTGAAAGTATTGTTATTAAAATGAAAATCAGTAGTTTGAAAAGAGGAGTGTGTGTGTGTAAGGTTTGACACATTATTTTATTTTAATTGGTTTTTGTACCAGACTTCGAGAATTTTACACTAGATGAATTTCGGAAATTAACACTACCCTCAAAAAATCTGACCTCGCATACTAAATGAAAAAAGATTTCTATTTTAAAAAACTTTATACTCACATTACTGCAAAACATAATAGCCCTGTTGCTGCTAAAGTCATAAAAAGTGTCAATAACAGAAAAAGAATTGGTGGTGGTGTTGTACACGAACTTTGATCAACTGTTGTAGTATTAATAGGTGGAACAATTCCATCATTTATTAGTGTTGTTCGACGAGTCTGTGCCGTTGTCATCAATGGGACTATACTGTTTCGAGTTAGAATTCGATTTGTACTACTTGTTTTGAAGCCAACTATAGGGACCACTGAACATTCACTTTGTGCAATTGTTGTTGATGCTGAGGATGGTTGTTTTGGACTATAATCTGCTACTAAGTACTTTCGAATAGACAAATTATCTGTATTTGTTATATTTGTTGAATTTCGATAACTATCATTAAAAACAAAAAGAGTTTCGTAATCTACTTCATCATCATTGTCGATTTCTTCTTCAGATGCATGGTGTTTGGATTGTCTACAGATAACAGGCCAACTGTGTGTCGTTTTACGTGCACCTTCATTCTGAATATGCCCAGTATGCTGATAATTGTCCAAGTTACAGCGAATGGTCAAATTTTCAGTTTTATCCCTTATGAGTCATAATTCAGCATCTCGTAGTGCCGTTGACATAGACTTTTTCCTCATTTTTATTCACAATTTCACCGTTCCTTTAAAAGGTTGATATAAATATTTCTATTTTATGGCTCTCAGTAAATAAAATTTCTGGGGCTGTAAAATAAATAAAAGAGGAATTTAATTTAGGGTTATCAAGTCAATCTGAAAAAATATTTTATGTAATTTTGTTTTTCACACAAACAAAGAATACATTTCATTTTCATACTGTTGTTTCTTTAATAATTGAATTTACAATGATCAGGAGAGTTGCACTGTCAGAAGATAAAGAGAAAAATTACGAATATTAATGTACATTTCAACATTACAAAGTTCACAATATGTACAAGTTCACAATTGAACATTAACAAAGTTCTTGCACATTCTTGTAATAAAAAGTCTACAGGAATATATTTTATGAATACAAACAATATATTATATAAATTCTACATGCAATTGCAAAAAATCATCTTCGTTCATCTTACTTTCACTATGAAAATAATGGTAAATTGGAAAACTTCTTCAAAATAAAAAACGACTGAATAAAAATTAAAGCTTTTTAAAACTGGTAAGAACCACACACTCGTATTATCTTGATTTTCATATCTTGATTTACACAGTTTATGCTTTAAAATTTTGGAACTATAATACGAAATTTAGTTTGAGATTCATTCTAAAAAGTATCTGTCAATGTGTATTTTACACTGTTAGGTATAAGGTCGGTCTGAAGTTTCAAGAAAAATTCAAGGAACCGATTTCAAACACTGTTATGAAATAGTTTTCGATTTTTTTTTTTCAAAGTCTCAAATAAAAGTTGAAATATGTTCATAAAGTGATAGGTAAATTAATTTCAACCGTTCATCTTTAATAGAAATTGATTTACTAACATAAATTGCATTTATTCTACATTTTGATATAACAATATGAACATTTAATATGACACACAAATATATGTGCTTACTTATTATGACATTTTTCCACTTGCACACAATAAAGACATTGCAATAGTGACATATTTGAAAAGCACACGCCCTTTCGACGCAAGAGAACTTACACAAACCTCATGTAAATTAGAGGTTATGAGCTAGTATACATCCTATACGATACATACATTCTTTAAAATGTTGAAGTATAATAAAATACTGGCATCCTATTTATTTGTTTTTTTTTTTTTCAAACAAATAGGTAATATTGGATTTTTTTTTTTTTTTTTAGAAATGGCTGAACAATCACCGGACCTTGTAACACGTGAGGAAAAAATCAACCAAGCTAAGGATTTTTATGCACGTGGATATCGAAATTATGTTGTTGGTGATTTCAATGAAGCAGCTGAGGATTTGAGTCGGTCTTGTGAATTATATGCTGAACTCTATGGCGACGAATCAGAAGAAGTAAATTGAAAAAATAATTGAATAGTCAACAAAATAATTTTTTACATTGTTTTCGTGATATGTTTTAATAAATTAGGTTGCAGTTCCGAATTTATTTTATGGAAAAACATTAATTGAACTGGCACAGATGGGTGAGTTCCGAAGCTGTAATCACTTTAAGAATATCTTTTCCACTATGGAAGATATGCTATCATTATTTTCACTTTTTTCATTATTTCTATAATAATACCTACCGAGTGGTAAATCAAATCACCTCGGTAATGTCACTAAAGTGGGCCAAAGGCCCCACGAGCCGTAAAGTCGACTCTTACAATAATAAACTATTACATTTTTTTTCTATTACAAAATGTTCCTAAATTCTATCTAAACGCGGTATACATTTCGAACTGTAAAACCTCATGAAGCATGAGGAAAACATGTCCTGAAATGAAAAAAAATCACGCAAACGCGTTATTAGAACAATAGATTTTCATTTCCACTTCCAATTCAATAGATAATTTACCTTTGTACATGATCAGCTTTGTAGCTGAAATTTCTCAATGCCAGACAGTCTTCAGAATGGGTCGATGTAGATGTTCAACTTCGCATTTTTATGTCGCTTCCACGTGGTCGTTGTCCGCCGTACGCAAAATTTGTCCATCGATTATCTCAACCCCCAAAAAAAAGTTATTTAAAATCTACTGTACAGGATGATTCGGGGTCGCGAGGAATAGAAATCATTAGATACAGTTTCTTTGAAAAAATCACAATAAATTTGAATTTTTGTATGGGAGCCATGCTACCTTAATGACGTGAAACTTTGCACAGGTTATTTTTTTTTAACAAAACCAAAAACATTTGGAGGGTTTGGAGAAATTTCAATAAAATTAGGGGTACCTCCCATACAAAATTTTCTACTATGCAGGCATGATTCCCATACAAAAGTCCAAATTTTTTGTGAAAAAAGTGTTGAAAAAAATAATTTTTATGGCGAATTTTAACGTCACACATATTTTTTAAATAGTTTTTTTGTAGAAAATAGAATTCTTTCAAATGTCATACATCATGAAAGTGTGAAAAATCTTTTCCGAGTATTTCTGTTATTAAATTAAAGAATATTTCGATGACGAACACATTTTTTGGTCTCGAACTTTACGCCGCTTGAAAGGCTTGAAAAATCGAACAAATATTATTTTGAACTTGCTTAATAAAATACGCATCTACCACCGTGCGGAAAAGTTCGTCTTACTCCTGTGAGACTGTTTATTATATGTATAATGGTAACAGATCCAAATAACAAAATTACTACTGAATCTAATTTTAAACAATCTGTTTGGTAAAGCACATCGAAATATGTGCTCCATACTGAAAGTAAAAAGTACAAATTGTTACATTATGTTTCATCACATGTTTAATGATTTTCAATATGTCCATTTTTTCTGTTTCACTCCTCCAGGTGAAAATAAATTGCTTGCTCTGCCAGATATTCAGGTATAAATTTAAAAGTATCGTATAGTAAAAAAATTGAATTTAAAAGTTAAATATAATTTTTGATTTATATATTTATTAATAATAATAAATTTACATATTAATTTTATAAATATTCAGGAGGAAGACGACGATGATGACGACGATAATGTTGGCGAAGAAAAACAAGGTAAATTGCAATCAAAATATATAATTATAATAACTGCACCGAACAGCGTTCCTTCGCCTTGGTGGTTTATTGAAAATAATTTAATTAAATATATATAATATAATACAATTTGATTTTTATCAAGCATTTTTGAGAGAGAAAATGTAAAATTATTGCTCCTCTCATGTAAATAATATAAATTTCATAAATTAATTTTTCATCTGCTTAAAATTTCTATAATCCATAACAAATTTTTGTATTTATCTGCTTTGCTTTAAATAATTCTTTATTCTCAGTTTTACTGTTGATAAATTTACTTCTAAATCAATTAAATTTTTATCACTGTTTTGCAATTTTTTGGTATAAAATTCGTTGAATGTTGTAAGCATATAATTTATTGGCTCATATTTTGTGTAATCAGTTCTCCTAATTGGTAGATCAAATAGTGGTGTTGCTCTGGTATCATGTGCTGGATCGTAATATTTCATACTGTTTGAAACATAAGTTGACTTTAAATCTCCGTGAATAATTTTGAAAATAAAAGACACTTGCGCCATCTTGCGTCTCTCCTCAAGAGTAATCATTTGCAGAAATAGTAGCCTGTGTTCGTATTTTGGCAGTCTAAAATCGTTCCAGGCCATTCTCCTCAGAGCATATATTAAAAATTGTTTTTGTATTGACTCTATTCTTTTGCACATATTGTCGTAGTGTGGATTCCATATTTCAGATCCATACTCAATAATCGGTAATATAAAT